AAAGCTTATGCTCAACATGTGTGGATCCGGCAAAAAAATGCTTTGGACCAGCTTATGATGGTCTTGCACAAAAATGTACTACATGGAACTAGGGTCAAAGAAGGTATTTTGGTGAAAAAAGAAAAAAGAAAAAAACTTTTGTACTTTTGGTGGTGGTTGAGGAAGGGGGGTTGGCCTATCCCTTGAATTTAGGGAAGGAAAAAATTTATATAAAGTTGGCATCTTAAAATGTAGAATTAGGGTGCAACTCTAAAATCTTTTTCTTTAAAAGGTTGTTTTGATGTTATAAAACCATCTAATTGATCATCTCGACGTCGAGGCTTATAAATATTTTTAAATCCTAAAAATAGTACATATTGCAATACATTATCTGGATTGACCATTTTCAAGATCTTTATACGTTTATATATTTGCTTCATTTGAACTATTTTTAGATTTTATATTTAAAAATAAAATTAGATTCTCTGACCAACTAAAAATTTTCGACATCAAAATTTCATCTCGTGACAAAGTTTGGAGGTGCGCGTCACTTTGATTGTAAGGTTGCAAGCTTATACAAACCTCACCCTTTAGGGAGATCAACAGACCTTTTTTTCTTTTCAAAAAACCAATATATTTTATATTTTTTTCAGATTTTTATAATGAATATCATATTTAAATTTCAATGCTTTTTTTATATATCTGATTAAGCCCAAGTTTTGAACATCTATGTTTTTTTTACCATAATAGATTATAAAAATATTTAAAATATAACGAAATTAAATAAAAATATCCAAAATACCCTTATAAATCTCAAAATTTAAGAGGTATTTTGATTATTTTAATTATTTCAAAATATTTTTTGATATTTTTTTTTACGAATGTGAAATGGTGAGGAGTATTAACTCCCTAAATTTGAGAGAAGCTTAATATGATCCACAAAGAAAGAAAGTTAAAATACAATACGGATTCTCAAAAGTGGGATTTGAGCATACATGGTACATTTTGTAATTATGATAATAAAATGGGTTTTTTTTGTAAATTTCCCTTGAATTTCTTTCCTATATCTCTCTCTTATTGTCCGATTAAGTGTGCCAATCCGGCTCCAAACTTTGGGGCATAATTCTGATTTTCTAATCACCATTAATTTCAGATACGATAGCCCGGTTTGATTATTAATTGTTGCAGTGACTTGCCAAGTCAAAAGTAGATAACTGGTTTTTTAAGAAATATGCAAAAATCAATATTGGATTAGTGTTTGCTGGACAAACTTGGTAGATTTGATTTGTTTCTAGTTAAATAAAATTGGTTATTTTTGTAATATATTTTATATTTAAAAACTATTATTCATATATAAAGCTTTTAAAAATCTATCCAATTGGTTCTAAATTAGATTGGTTTTGATTGAACAGACCCCTCTCCAGTTTGATAGTCATGATAGTACTGCTTTTTAGGTATGAGTTACTAGTGAATTTGTGAGCAATTGGCGAATCAAAAGGGGGTGATCTTGCCAGCTAATCCACACAATATTTTATTTTTTTACCGTTATCTTTTCTAAGTGTGTCCATATAGAAACGTTTATATAAGGTGTCAATCTTATACCAGCAAGACACACCTCAAAACCCCACCAAAAGGGTGTGTTTACTTCAAAAGCTCTCTAATTTATTATCTCGACATTGAGATATATGGATATTAAACAAAAAGAAAGGATTTCAAGTCTTGAAAGTAGTACATATTATAACATAATATTTAGTTCGGCAAATTTTCAAGACTTTAAAGCGTTAATAAATGTGCTCGATTTGGACATTTTTTAAGCTTTGAATGTCATAGGAGCGGTGATAGATTTTCAAGAGTTTTCAGCACCAATACTTGGCAAGAGTTGGACAAGAGCCTTCTTAATTGTTGATGTCTTAAATAAACCGCACTACATATATAATATTTTCTTTATTATCTTTTGCCTAACCTAATGTTGTATAGGATATACAATATACAAACAATTGGGTTGCAAACAGTTAGCTAAAAACTCCCCAACCCAGGACATTAGATTGCCCACTGTTTTTTGTTGGATGAAAGATTGCCCACCGAATGGTGGAAGGCCCTTTGACCAAAAATGGATTCTTCTATGCTTACTCTCCATACCATATGAGTTTTCCTTCTTCGCAAATAGAAAGAAAGTTGTAATTTGAGAGCTCAACCCAGCTGAAGTGTTCTCAATAAAATCTTTATATTGTAAATTAAGCCACGGCCTATATTTTTGTCCCATTAGCAAAAGTTTGGTCTGTCAAAGTTTCAAATGGAGCAAGGGTAGGGCTGGCAACAGGTTAGGTCGACCCGTGACCAGACCCAAATGGACTCGGATCCAAACTTGAATAGTGTTCGGGTTTAATATTTGGACCTGGACCCAATGTCCGGACCCGACCAGCTGGATCGCGTCTAAGCGTTGTGTCCCGGGTCGGGTTCGGGTCCATGGCCACCCTAGATCTAAGGGCTTTTTTTATGGCTGGTGATTAGGGGCAAGTCTCTTTCCATGGAACGACTAAAAAAGAGGGGAGTGATTATAATTAATGTTTGCTTGTTGTGTAAGGGCAATGAGGAGACAAATGGCCACTTGTTTGTTACACTATACCTTCAAAATCCTTATATGGGGACGGATGCCAAAGCTATTTTACTAGGTTTAGCCCACAATTGGCATCCATCAATTTTCATAGTAGACTTTTCATATTCTTCTCCAAAACAAGGGATTTGACTGTGGCACATGGCTACGATCGTAATTATTTGACATATCTAGAAAGAAAGAAATAGAAGGTTATTTGAAAGTAAGGTCAATGAGATGGGTGAGATCAAGTCTTTGATTTTGGGCTCCATGGTGATTTGGACTCGGGCTATAACGCTTGTTGGCTTATACCCTACTTTGAAAAGTAGGGTCTTATTGGATCCTAAATTCTACACAGTAGGTCTCATTTAGGCGATCAAAATAAAAAGAAAAAACTGGAATCATGTAAGAAATAAAGGGAAAAATGAATCCTCCATTCTCGGTGAGCATAAGTTTCTTTGGTAGACAATGAATCTAGGCCTTCAAAAACTCTTTTTTTTTCTTTTTTTTTTCAAATCTTGTTTATTTGTCCAAAATTTTGATCCAAAAAATATTTTCTGCATGTTTTGGAGATCCAACTATACTAACCCACTGGCTTATAAAAGTTACTCCAATAACAGAGAAAATTATTCTAGTCGTGTATGCTATGCTCCTACAGGAGCATACTGTGCATGTACTCCCTCAATCGAAGGATCTACTTGAGAGGTTCTTTCAATCTGAAATTATGGAAAGCACCTAAGAATCACCAGATTATTATTTTTAAAATAAAAATTTAAATTTTTGAGTTTGTTGACACTTAAATGTCGCTCGTCTATTCAATCTTGAGAGAATATATATATATATTTTAGTACTTGGAGAGTTCAATTCTAAAGTTTTTTTTATTGAGTTAGTCTGGTTTGAAGAGGTTACATCCCCAAACTTGGGCTCCAAATTGCTCCAATATTGGGATTGGGATTGGGATCGGGATTGGAATTGTATACAATGATGCTATTTACCTTTTATACAAGGAGGTCATAATTATTTATAATCATCCGATGTGAAATCTGATAGCTTAAATGTAGCATCGAAAAAAATTCTTTTGAACTTCAAGCTAGGTCAATGCCATAAATATAGCCACCCAATTTCATATCCAATGGTTAAGATTAATTGTTATCACTTTGTACCAAAGATAAATAATCACATTGTATACTTTTCCATTGGGATTTACTCCAGAGAAATAGACCGTATACTCCCATCCGACATAAGTATAAAATTTTTTGGCAACTATATTTGTATTGAAGTTTGAAACTTTCGCACAGACCCACTAATTTTGCTACCAAAGTAAGAGTGAGAATGCTAGATTTGGAGATCTTTCCATTTGCTTGCAATTAACTTGGGTGAACTTCTAAAAGAGCATGGGTAGTCCAGCTAATCTCGGCACATAATCGAGGGGTTATGTGCATGATTCATGTCCCCCTCGATGTATCCGCAATGGGCGATATCATGTGTAGTGTGCTATTTTTTTTTGGGTAATTCAGTAGAGATGACGAGCCCTACCTATTTTTTTAAATCGTTGGAGATTTTTTAATGCGTTAAATAAGAATGGAAGCCTAAACCTTAGCTGGGGTACATGTGGTGTTACCATCATGACCCCACTATTCAAATTACAATACACCATGTTATGATTTTATTTGGAGAGGTTTTTTTTAATCTTTGATTCAAAAGACAGGTAGTTTAAAGAAGTTGATTTTAAGTTTTTGAAGGCCTAGATCCATCGTTCGTCAAATGGAGTACACTAGAAATATCAGACAATTTTCTTTTGTATTATTTGACCTTTTATTTTGATTTTCTAAATGAGATCTACTTTGAGTAGGGCCTCTCTTGCTCCTACTCTTTTAGTTTTGTAGAAACTAACAAATTGTTGATGTTAATGTCCCCATTTTCATGCAACACATATTGGCACATGGAATGCTGCTATCCTTCGCAGGGATGACAATATATTTGTAGCCATTTATGTTAATGAAGGCAAAAATATATTGCTACATATCCATGAGAGTGTCCTCCTACAAGACGATAGACTGAATATTTCCTCACGCAAAAGAACTACTCTAGAAGATTTTTGAGTTGTAAAATGTCAGAATCAACTTCGACATGAACATTAAAAAAATTTTGATTTTGAGTTTCTAAATATTAAAATCTGACAGTCCAAAAACCCGGGTTTTTTAAAATCTCTCTCTCTCTCTCTCTCTCTCTCTCTTTCTCTCATACACACACACCCCACCTGAGGGAAATGAATCATGGTTTTTTCATGAAATTTCCCTTCTAAGCAGATCACAAGGGACAACTCATTGATATGAGCTCAATACAACCTCATCCATTCCAAAACCAGAACAACCTCCATATCTGCCGAGGCCCCAGGTGTAGAGAGAGAGAGAGAGAGAGAGAGAGAGAGAGAGTAGTAGTAACGTAAGTAGTAGAGTACTACGAACAACGTAACGTACGTACCGGTACCCCGTACCCCGTTTAACCGTTACGTACCGTTACGT